GACTTAACTCTACACCCTCTCACGAGTCTCAACCATAAATTCTATGAATTTATAGAGTAAATACATGCTATTAAAATAATTAAATATTAACGTAATTATAAATGCATTGTTTTCAGTAAACTTTAATCAACCTGTAGTAATACCAATAATAAGATAAATTACTTGAAAATATGCCTTTCAGTCCTAAAAGTAAGATAAACTGGAGTGTGTCCAAGTGCATTATGCCATTTTTTGATATAAAGTAGGACATAAAAAAAATCAGGACCAGATTATGTAGTATGAACAACTAACTAAGGCTTTGTAACCATTATTTAATGGATAAGATACATAAAAACTATAGGGCATTCAATATGCTTTAAATCTTACTGTTTTTGACTCCCCAAAATAACACCTTACACCTACTAAATAGGAACTGCAAAAATATTTCACACAGAGCCTCGATAATCAACAAACCAGCCATAGGTACATATTATTTAAAATAAATAGTTATTACCTATTATGAGATAGATTCAGCACTAGTAGACTTGAAGATGATTCTAAACCATCTGGTATTCTAGTTAATCGGTTGTGACTTAGATCCAATGTTGTCAATTCAGTTGTAGTTTGATTGTTGCAAAAGAGTTCTTGAGGTATACCAGAGCTCTTAATGCAATTGTGACGAGCAATTAATGATCGCAATGAACATAATTCTGGAAGTTCCCCATACAAGCTTTCAACATTATTATGTGCAATTGATAAATGCTCCTATAATTAACATAAATGAATTACTAAATATTAAGATTTTTAACTGAAGAAATAAAGTAAAAGTAAAATTATTCTATACCAATGTACCGTGTTAAGCAAAAACAGGAAACATTCAATATCTCAGCATAGAGCTGTGTTTAATTTTACTAATTTTAGCCAAAATTATTTGTTCTACATGATACTAAGTAACACTCATATTTAATATTATTAATTTTAATTTTTAGCAATGAATATATTGATTTAACAATAAAGTGTTTTTATTTTTATTTTTTGTGTTTATGTACATTGTACACAATAAGTAGTCAAAATAATGCTTCGGTTTTCCACTTCAGTGACTTTTTTGGTAGAAAAGTGAATATAGTTGGTATATTTGAGAGGTTAAAATTGAAAATTACCAATACTTAGACGTTGGAAAAAAAACGGACATTTTTATGCAAAATCAATTTTTAACAAAATTGTTTTTGGTGTTGCTCTAAGGAAATAGATATATCAAATGTTTACTGAATGTTTTTTATATTTTGTTTATATTAGCAAATTTCTATGCACCATAACTTTTTAAAAGTATTTTGATTCCTTTTGAACTATTTATAAGCTAAGAAAATATTGATTTTATTAAAATTATTGTCAATAAAAATTGTGTGCTCAGTTAAAAATGTATCAGCATTTGAAGTTAACATTTTCATAAAGTTTTTAGTATCACAAACATTTGTAAATTATTTTTTAGTGAAAAATTGAATATAAGGATTTGTCATAAGTAATTGTGAGTGGAAATTGAAAAAAAAAATGTAGAGCATAAATCCTCAATATTTTTTTAAGAGGGTCTAAGGATAGGTATATCTTGTTATTTAATTTGTCAGGTCTTCTTGTTAATGTAACTCTGAAAATGTAATATGGATGTAATATTGTAACATGAACTCTAATATGAACAATTAAAAAAAGTTTAATATAATTAATGAGTACATAAAGGTATACATAATGTTAACACAAAATAATAATAATATAGTGTATGATAGATTTAAATTATCTAAATAAAGTTGGTACCATTTATAAGACGCTAGCCATAACAACATAAAAAATATTTTTACGGTTCCTTGACCGTCGTCTTAGATGATACTGTCTGTATTATAAATTACTAAAATGATGAAATTGCCAATTTGTTTAGGGCAAAATATAATAATATATATATATTAAATTATCTATTTATATTTTTACTAGAAATTATGTTTTACAGATATTTTGTTACTTTACCGGACACCCTTTTTTAGGACCTCGGGTTTGGCGACTGGAACCACTATATACTTATACTACTCATATTATACAGAAATATATTTGACATAAAATATTTGTGATTTGGATCATTTACAACTAATAATATAATTTAATTATGAAGCATTTATCAATATTTAAAAATGTATTATATTATCATAATATATATATATGGGAATTTGCATATCACTAGACTGTCAGGCTAACAAATTTAGATTGCACCATCGTTCTTAACTCGTAATACATAAGTTTCTAAAAAAATAACACATATTTGTAATAGGCTAGTAAGCTAAAATGATGCGCCAATGTGTAAAAATTGTAAAATAAAGAATTTCATTAGGCCATAACTTCAAAATAAAGTCCGACTGCCAGATTCTGACTTCACCATTGTTTTGAATTATAGTTTACTACATAAGTCAAAAAATAATTGCAAAAAAAGGGTGTCCAGTAAAGTAATGAAGTTCCGTTTTACACAATAGTTGTTATTGCGCTGTAGTATTTTCCATATGCCAAAGTACAATGTAAAAAAAAATAAATATAATAGAAGTACATACTAATTTTCCAAGTTTTCCAATTTCTTCTGGGATTTCATGTAACTTTACCCTATTTAAGTTCAGCCATTGAACACTTGACATTGACATAACAGCAGAAGGAAATTTTGATGTCTAAAAAAGAGTTCATTTTTAATCACAGTAATAAAACTAGTACAATTACATACCAATTAACTTTTTTAAAAGTAAAATTTTATGGAAAACTATTGTGCCTGAAAATTAACCACTTACGCAACAATGAAAATAGTTGAAAACCCATATATAAGCACTAGGACATTTATGTATCCTAATTTTCACAAATTGATATATCGAGTGGAATGTGTTATCAAATGTAGATGGATAATGTGTGAACATTTACAAAATAAAAAAAAAATTAATTTTACTAGGGTCAATATTCAGTATGGAAGAGAAATAACTATGTATCTATATGCTACTGGTAGCATAAAAACAGTTTTTTCTTGTTTTCTCGGAATCACCTTTATTGATTTACGTCAGGTGGTTCAGTTATTATTGATTTAAATCAATTTTAAAATCCATTTTTTTTTTGTTTTTAAAACTTAAATAACAAATTATGTATTCTTACTAGATATTCTTGAAATTTTTTTCTTTAAATTCCCTTCAGATAGATTTAGAAAGATGTTTAAATGAAGTTCTTTACTTTTATTTATTTTTTGCTACACAACTATACATTTAAATGTATCAAATATAATTGTATCATAGAACTCAATAATTATCACATTACTTTAACCATCATTTAAAGTGTCTATTTGAATTGTTTAAATTCAATACTTTAATTGTCGAACTGCATTAGTTTTTACTAAGAGTTCATAATATATAAAATAAAATGATTATTACTTATCAAGCTATTAAAATCAAGATTTTTAATTGAAAAATTTTGCAAGTGTAGATTTGTTTCTTAATTTAATGTGATTGCACTGTGCAGTTAACAATTGTAAATATCATAAGGATGCCTACACAAGTGAATACAGTACAACCTCTCTAAGACGGTTTGCTTGGGACCATTCATACATTGGAGTTCCTAACTCCACAGGGTTCACATTTATTTTATATTTGAATGGGACCAAAGAAATTGTGTGTAACCGGGGTTTCCATCTTACCAACTTTTTACTGAATATTATTTCCCATTTTAATAGTACCATAATGAAACCTAGCTTCAAGTATGTCTAATGATTGATGTAAGTATCTTTATAAATGAATGATAATACTTAAAAATGCAAAAAACAATAGAATATACTTACTTTAAAATCATTGTTACTGAAATCTATGCCTCTTACAAAAGGCAATACACCAGTATTGGCCATATTGGGATTGTGTTATGTTGCTGGTGAGTCGTACAAACCCGTATTAAACGTTTTACATTAATTTATTTCACATAATTATCATATTTATTTCAAATAAAAAAAAAAAGTTAGCCAATAGATTAGTCACCAATCAACAGACTAAAATGTTGAACAAACTGTAATAATACAGTACTTAGATTAAATTTGTTGTGGTGTGAATAATAATAAAATAATAAAATAGTTTAACTATGGATTCCATCATCGTTTTAGTATTTTGAGCGAATTACATTTTATAAAATATTTATAACAAATTGTAGTATTGAAAACACTACTTACTACACAGTACACTTAACTACTCAAAACTCATCATTATTTATTAATATAGAACATTGTCATTACTCATTACTCAACAGCGTTAAACATCTATTATTATTTATTTATTTTTTATTATTAGTATGTCCCGATTTTTACCTGTTATCATCATAGACCTATATTTTTACGTCTATGGTTATCATGAACTGATTGCAAGTGTTGACAATTCATAAATTGGCAATGTGAGAATGAGAGGATACATGATATGGCTACACTGGCGCATTACCTTTTCAAGGTCATATTTTTCTCGTAGGATCAAAACGCCATTGTAGACTATTGAAAATAAACTACAATACTATATAGTATATACTAATTATACTGTAGTCACTGCAGCACTCTGCCTTGTCAGTAATCAGTATGTATTGCCGTGGTGGGGTCTCTATAGGCACAGAACAATAAGCTATATAGGTAGAGGTTGCGGTGGTGTGTTGAGCAGGTGCACCACACGGGTCGCCGACGGTCCTTGTATATTTATATATCCAACCATATAAAGTAGTAAAAGTAAAGTACTACAAACTACTTTAACTATAACACATTAACTGTTAATACTATGACCGTAACACAGTACAGCTTGTCGTTCGTGGGCGCCGAAGACTGACCCTAGACAGCACACAGATCTTAATATTATATAGCCTATGCCCAGAAATAGGTGTTCTGTTAGCAAAAGATAATTATTATAATGTAACGTATACTTGTGTGTTTTGTACAGTAGGTATATACGTTTACACACAGTGAAGAGACTATGACTGTATGAGTCATCTCAGTCCTCAGATCACCTCGACCGACTCACCGTTAAGTGCCGTGTTCACGGCACAACCCGACACACACGCTACACAACTGCGGCGGCTTACAGGCTATTTCCTGCCGCTTTCCCCCTGATTCTTCTTCCCTCTTCGATTTTTGTAACGCGACCCAATACCCATACACATGGATCATTGCGCGTACATGACGATTTACCGTTCATACACGTAAAAGCTAAAATTGCGAAATTAAAGTTTATGACACATAACTTGTGGATTCATGATATGTATGTCGTATGTAAATGTATTTTTACAATCGTCGCGGAAATGCCATAAATTACCTATTGCGATTGCGCCGAGTATGAATTTGAATGTTCAGTGATTACATTAGACAACGAATTAGTAAAATAATAATTAAAAAAACATCGCGCATTGTCAATAGTCTATATCGTAATATATTATGGTTCAATGATGATGATCCGTTTTACTCTCGTCTCTCGTACAAAATAATTAACAAATAGATAAATATCGTCATCAAATATATACCGAAACCGAAGTGAGTATTTTTAGTTTCATAAATTTAAATGTACATATTTAATAAAATAATTACTATTTACCCGTGACTTTTTATAAAACTAATAATATTATTCTAATCACGATTGCATGTTTAAAAAACAAATACTACACAGTATTTAATTACTATAAATACCTCGTCATTTTATTTTATCATTTATTAAGTAGTTTTATAATATAAGATTACTAGTTTAGTACAAAGTAGATACAGTTTGTAGATATATGTACTTATGCAGTATTGATGACTAAATTAATCAAAGTATTGAATTGTAAAGGAATTACATAAAAAATAATTAATCTCTTAGTGTTTATACTAATTTATTGTTTTAAATTTGTTTAGATCATTCCAACAACTGAGTTAAACATGGATTTGGTTAAAAATGGCATTTTATTAAGCAAAAATTCAGTTAATAATTTATTTGGACAATGTGAACCTTGGCAAGTTGCTTCTATCACAGCGTCCAGTGTATTAACGTCTATTTGGATATGGAATTTTTTATTTCAAGATGAAAGCAAGTTTTTATTGTAAATTAGACAGTCAAAAAACAAATTTTACTAAAACTTTTAAAGATAATATGGAATATGCAGAAAATGTATAGCTGCAATAATTGTACACAGAAAATTCCCCTCATTTTACTAGCTTCAACTTTAAAGCTCTAAGCCAAAAAATGTTTCAATACTCATAAATATGTATAAATTAAATTTAAAATTTATGCCTTGGAGCCTTAGAAAATATCAATAATTTTACAGAAAGTTTCGAAATACCATGTACCTACTGCCTTGCATCAATACATTTATATTACTGAATTTTTGTTTTTGGGAGAATATTTTTTTTTTGTTACAGAAGATCAGATTTTTATGCCAATTCATCTAGAATTATTTTATTTTGGATTGTTGACATTTTGTAATATTTAAATTCTAAAGTTACATTTTTTTTACATATTTGATTAAAAATTACTATAAATAGCATATTTCTATGTAATTGCATAAAAGTTGCATTTTTTTATAAATAGTTGATTTGTTTAAAAAATTTTGGATCAAATTTGAAAATATAAGATAACATTTTGTTCATTTACTTCATGTTGGTACTCATTCCAAAATGAATATTAAATTTTCTGTTATTAATTTTGCATTTAGATATTTAAACAGTAGGTATAGTTTGTACCCATTTATAAGCAAAATTATTATAATACATTTATTTACTCATTAAATAATCATTATAAATTTCCGGCTATATTTTTAGGTTTGTATAACAGATTAAAAAAATTCACATTTACTCAAATTAAAAAAATACCAAAGTTCAAAAAACAAGTTGAAGAGGAAACTAAAAAAATTTCAGACTTATTTGAAAATGAAGTAATTGAAAATACTAAGAGTGAAAAATATGTTGTTGAACTCCCGCCACAAGGAATATCTCGAGATGAATTAATTAAAACTGTAAATAGGTATTTAAATCTTGGTAAGATGTAGTTTTTTTTACTAAATTAACATATATTATTTCCAAAATATATCTTTTTTTTAGGTAAATACAATTGGAAAGAAGGATTTATTTCTGGTGCTATATATTATTATGACGAAGAATTAATTAAATTGCTCACTGAAGTATATGGACTTGCTTCATATACAAATCCTTTACATTCGGATATTTTTCCAGGAATTTGTAAAATGGAAGCGGAAGTTGTACGTCTAGTTGTAAATCTATTTCACGGTGATTCAAATTGTTGTGGAACAGTATGTTATTACAAAAATAAAAATAAAAAAAGGTACCTAGATGATATATATAACTATAATTCACATTTTGTATTTAAGATGACAAGTGGTGGAACAGAGTCAATTGTAATGGCATGTAAAGCTTACAGAGATTTTGGAAGAAATGAATGTGGTATTAAAAAAGGTGAAATAATAGTTCCACGGTCAGCACACCCTGCTTTTGACAAAGCTGCTGCTTACTTTGGTATTAAAATTATACACATCAGTTTACATCCTGATACTTATACAGTAAATTTAAAAAAAATGGAAAATGCAATAACTAAGAATACATTACTGGTAAGCTCATTATGTTTTGTTACATATTTTCAAAATTAAATTAAAAATATCATGTGCTGACATAAATTAAAAAAATTGTTAATGGCTGATTTCTTAATTTAACTAACTTATAAGTAATTGCAGTAAGAGTAGAATTCAAAGTTTTGATTTATAATACATTTAGACAAATGACTGGATTAGAGAATAGTATAGCCTGATTGAAATAAGAAGCAGCCTGGGCAGTAGTCTGGCAATAACTATCTGTCTCCTATTAATATCTATATGTTAGCCGTGTTGTAAAGCCATGACCCTGTACAGACGTTTGTCTCCTGGGTTGATTTTTAAAATTAATACAGGAAAGAAAAATTAAGGGTGGCCTAGTCATGTTTGAATGATTGAGCAGAACCTGCTTACATTTTAGAAGGCAATAGTTGTACCCAGATAATTATTCTAATTTCAAACCTTTGTTCATTATGAAAATATTTGAAATATTATGTGATGTCATCAAATTATACTTATATTCAAAGTTAAAACCATATATTATTACATTTTACTTTCTATAACGTATTTACATTGATATTATACTCATAACTCATGAATTTAATAGAGTTCGCTATGATATTGATATATAGTTGAAAATAAAAAAATAGAGATATATTTTACTGTAGTCTAATGTAAAAAATATGTTCATAATTTTTATTTTATATTTAAATGTATAATTTATTAAAATTTCTCAATAAATTATAAGATTTGTTTCTCATTTAAAATTTTTATGAAAAAATCTAATTGATATACTATGTTCAAAATCAAAATAATGACAGACCACCTTAATATGACTGACAAATGTACAATTATTTTTAATAAATATATTATTATTATTATTTATACATAACTATATATTATACTTACAGCTTGTTGGATCATTTCCTAATTTCCCATATGGAACATCAGACGATATTGAAGCAATATCAGCTTTAGGTCTTAAATATAATATTCCAGTCCACGTTGATTGTTGTTTAGGTGGTTTCATAGCAGCATTTATGCCCCAAGCTGGTTTTCAATTACCTCCATTTGATTTTATTTTGCCTGGCGTAACAAGTATATCTGCTGATACACATAAGGTATTTTTTTAAAGTTATAGTTATCCATCACAATAATGTAATGAATAAATTTTTTTTTAATTTCATCACTCTAAATCACACATTAGTATGGATATGCACCTAAAGGTTCATCAGTTATATTGTACTCAGATAAAAAATACAGACATAACCAGTATTATGTATGTACAGAATGGCCAGGTGGTCATTATGGTTCACCAACTGTTAGCGGATCAAGGTCTGGAGGTAATTATAAAAATTTATCTACATTTTAAAAAATGTTTGAATAATGTGAATAACTTTATTTCTAAATTTATTCTAATAATGGAATTTATTAGGTATAATTGCTGCATGCTGGGCCACATTAATGTATTTTGGTATGAATGGCTATATTACTTCAACAAAGGAAGTTATGGATACTAAAATATTTATTGAAGAACAGTAAGTTAGAAATTTATCATGTAACTCAATTACATTGTTCAATATTTGTGCCAATTCTATGGAAAATAGCATTTTAGAATCATTAAATATGTGATACTTTTTTTAGTGGAAATGGAATGTTTTCATCTTAGTGACTAGTGTACCTATTACTTAATGATTTTAGACCATAACTGGATTACTTCCATATCATATTGTCTTCTACAATGACTATATTTGCACAAAAATTCTATTCACTTTCATAGTTTCATTCCTCTAATACTTTCTTATTTCTTTTTGTGTTTAGAATGAAAAAATTAAACATATATATCAAGTTATAAAATATTTTTAGTGTTGAGTTTAAAACTTGTAAATGTGTTGATTTTACTTTTTTAAATTTATATTTTGAGTACCTGCCTTTAAACGTTTAAAGACTTAATGATCAGCCACCTAGGTCATACTTGTTCACATTAAAAATGATTATGTTATTATAATTTAGAACAAAAGTTGCCAACCTTTTACGATCAACTGGTCAATCTCTAGATTAATATTAGTTAATTGTATTAAAAATTAATTATGCCTGCAATATTGGTTAATCCAATGCGTCATTATAAGCACACTTTTATTCTTTGTATATGAAGTAAAATATTTATTATTAAAGAAAACATACAGTTTTCTGACATATTATGTAATAATATACCTAAAAATTAGTGATCAATCACCAAATACTTTAAAAATTTAAGTATGTAGCTAATTTGTTAAATTTATCCAATATATAAGTAGCTAAAACTATTAAACTATTTTTTTATTTATAGATTACGTAGTATGAAAGGTATTTTTATTTTTGGAAAGCCTACTACGTCTGTGATAGCAATAGGTTCTGATGATTTTAATATTTACCGATTATCTGATGCATTGAACTCAAGAGGATGGAATTTAAACACTTTACAATTTCCAATTGGGTAAGGCTAATCAATCACAATAAATCATGTTATTTTGAATATTTATCAGCTAAAAGAATAATATGGATAATATATGAGGTCTGTTTAAAAAGTACCCGGACAAATATTAGTACGGCTAATCTAGACACAATAAAGTTTTTAAATTATATATAGATTTATTCCCCATGTGTTAAAGAATATTTTAAACAAAACCTAAGTCGCTATATTTGATCTCAGTTTAAATTAACACATGTTTAAATCGACTCAGCTTATTTTGCTTAGCGTTTTCGATATGTCCGAACAATAGGAAAATTGTTTGACGATTTGTTAAGACCTTAAAAATCGTTCTATCGATCCTAATTTTATAAAAACATTATAGCAGGTGATGAGACATGGGTTTATGGGTACGATCTTGGTCATCTCAGTGAAAAACAAAAATTTTCTCTCGGCCAAAAAAAGCTTGCCAAGTGTGGTCAAATTTCAAGACAATGGTGATTGTTTTTTTGATATTGAAATAATTGTTCATTATGTATTTTACCCCATGGACAAACAGTAAATCAGGTATTCTACAAAGACGTATTAATACGTTTGGGAGAAAAAATTCTTAAAAAAACGCCCAGAAAAATGGCGAACAAGAACATGGTTTCTTCACCACGGCAATGCGCCAGCCCATTCAGCGCTATCGATAAGTGCATTTTTGGCTGAAAATACCTGTTGTACCGCACCCTCCTTATTATCCTAATCTGGACCCGTGTGATTTTTTTCTTTTCACAAAACTAAAATTTGCACTCAAAGAACAACAATTTCATGATGTATAAGAAATTAAAGCAAATACAACAGCAGAACTCAAAGTCTTAACTTCAGAGCAGTTTCAAGGACTTTAAAAAATTGGCAAGAATACCAGGACCATTGCATTTTGTTCGGAGGAGAGTATTTTGAAGGAGATATTTTTAAATAAAGTGTAACTTAACTTTTGTATTTATTAAAAATAAAATCCCGGTACTTTTTGAAGAGACCTCTTTTAGTGTGATAAACTGTTTAGGTTTATACTAAATTTCTTGGCCGGATTACATTGTATTGGATTTAGATTTTTTGACAAAGTTTATAGTAACATAAATAAATATTTGTTGGAACAATTAAAACTTTTTTAGAGCCTCTAGCTTGTCACAAAATTTGCAATTCAATCCAATGTTATCCTATCAAAAATTTGATGTTACAAGAAAAAATTATTGTATTGTATAATAATCTACTTGCTCATTTATAGGATTCATATTTGCATTACACATTTACATACAAAACCTGGCGTAGCTTCATTATTTATTGAAGATTTAAGACTAGAATTAATTGAAATATTAAAAACTCCTAATGTTGAACTTACTGGAAAAGTAAATAATAAGTTATTTAATCAAATAAGAGTTTTTTTTAATATTGAGTATCGTGATTTTATAGATGGCTATGTACGGAATGTCTGCCACATTGCCAGATAGAACAATTGTTGGTGACATCACAAGATACTTTATAGATGCTATGTATTATACTCCAAAATAATACATTTTATATGTTGGTATAAGTATAGTAAATTATTTTTGTGACTACAAATTATTTACCATAATTAGAATTTAAATATTCCTGACTTGTAAAATACCAATTTATTAACATTTATATTTTTGGCATTAAAACTAATTTACTAAAAATTCATAAAATTATACATAGTTGCTGATGCATGGTATCTAATGTGCAGTTTCCAATTTCTTTTTATGTGTTGGCTTTTTTATGATATTTCAATTTATCTGCAATCATGAATGTAAGTATATTAATTATAATATTTTTTTAAATGGTCTTATATCTCAGAATATTTGATACATTATTAAGACTCCAACATACAATTAATACAGATAATGTTCTTAGCTATAAATTTGATAGTTGGTCAATTCACTCTATAGAGCTATAACAATACAACTACATAAGATTGGTTGTGCTGAATGAAAATTTGCCATGTTGCACATTGGTTAGAGAGAGAAATGAATACTGAGCATAAATTGGAAATGTCATGGTACTTATATAATATAAAAATACCCCTTAAATGTTTTAAGAACCCATGAATAATATTTTTTAATTACTACAAAATAAATAAAACCCTTAATCTTTGCTAAAATATCTAATTTAGTCCAAATTTTTCGTTCCAATATGAATTACTTCCGCGTCACCTAAATCAAGTAAAAACCATGTAATATGTCCAAAATAGCTTAAAAAAATTAGCCAACATTTCAAGTAGTTACCTATTTTTTTGTTTTTAGTTAGCTTAAAAAAAAAACGATATCGCTTTAGCGGAAAACTGGTTTCAGATTTCCGAATTTCCTAATTTTAGATTCTGAGCGGAGCGATGAATGTATTGATTTTACAATGATGTGTGTTTTTATATTTATTTATTTTTTGTGTCTGTCATCACGGTTTCTTGCAGTAAAAGTGCTTCGATTTTTTCCATACCAACTTTTCTGGTAGAAAAGTAAATCTAGTTGGTGCATTCGGGAGGTCTAACTTTAAAATTCTCCATAGTTTTCAAAAGCAACAGAAAAAACAAACAAAAATGACTGTAGATACATGAAATGTTGAACTATTTATAGGCATATTGAATTTTCGATTATTATTTGTTTTTATAAACTCAAGTCGCTAAAATAATTTTCGATCTGTCAAAAAACTTGCAAATGTAATACAAGGTTCCTTGTAAGTTTTTGTTGATGGAAATTCAAAAAAAAAAATGAGCTTTAGATAGTTATAAATTCAACTTACCGGCTACCATATTAATAATAATAGTACCTGATAATATAAAATATCCTTGACTGATATACTGTCTCCGCCATAGACTAAGATGAGTCTTACTCTATAGTCTCCACTCTCCGCTCATAATCGTTTTTCGTAGGTATACAATGATATATCGATGAATTCAAATTTGAAACTGGAGAAGTTAACAATATCATCCAGTACAGCGACCACCTAGACACCTAATGTACAGCATCCACTTACCCGCTTTTTTTCAGCGGACTTTCTACCCGCATCACTTTTTCCAGGATTCACTGTGTCATACATTTCATACGTTGGCTAAGTCTTTATCGAATTTGAGTATAGCATCTGCGTTTAAAAAAATGTTGCTTTATTCAATTAAGAGGACGTGATACCCGCATGTGTTGTCTCCGTCTTACAAGTGCGTGCCACATAGGTTTTTTATTATATTTTAATTTTAACGCGAGTTATGAGTATTTTAAAATTGTAAATTTTTTATACATCTTAAAATACTCATAACTCGCGTTAAAATTAAAATATAATAAAAAACCTATGAGGTTGACTAGATAATAATCTTACCTTTAGATTTTATAAGAGGTCAATTCGCACTAATTTTTAAACTAACGGAGCTACACGTGTTATGCTGAGCTTAAAATTTGCTATGGTACGCACTTGTAAGACGGAGACAACACATGCGGGTATCACACTATCACGTCCTCTTAAGTTATATTTACTCAGGTATATTTTTACTCAGGTGTAAATTTGGGCAACTCGTACGAGCGCTTTTCCGTCTTTACGACATGCCGACATGTCTAAAAATATTTTGGTCAAACACCGTGGCGATGTTGCGTATCTAGAATTTTTAAGAGTCCCCCTATCTGACACATAAGGACATGGATATACTATAAATTATAATACATATGAACAATCTACATAATTCAAACCAATTTATCAATAACCATACATTTATACAGAAAAATTGTGAAGAAGGATTGAATGGCCGGTAGGGCTTCTTTGAAAACACCACCGGTCATAACTCATATCACAGATTAAAATATTAATCTGTGCTCATATAGTATACCTATATAATCACTGAGTATGATAAATCATGTTATATCTGTATATTATGATTTAAGGTCATGATCACGGATTAATCCGTGGTCATGATACACATAACAACCTTTTTTTTGGATAGTTGATTTAAGCAATAATGAATATGAGGATGCGACTAAAAAACGACTTGGGAATTAAGGGAATCAGTGCGTAGGTACTAATCTGCAGTTGCGTCATTTGGGGGAAGGCAGGTGGGCTTTTGCCCCATAGAATAATCCTTTTAAGTATTTTATGATGATACTAATTACTATAATTGTATCTATTCTGTGCTATTACTATATTATGATGACTGGTAACTGGTTTTAATTAAAGAATAAAATCCCGGCGGGCCGCTCGTTTTCATTTAACCATGATATTATATTTTATTAGTTATGTTACGCGTTTGTAAGACAAAAACAATCCGCATAGCGTGTCGCGTGTTCATATTATATTTCATTATTTTTATTTGTAATGTGTTTATTGTATATAACATAATCCCAATTAAAATAAGTACAAGTAATAAAGAAAAGAAACCTGTAAATGGCTACAGGAATGTCCAGATCTCGAAAATTGAAATTAACCATCATTTTCTTTATTTGGTCAACCTGTAAAGAGTGTAAACAAGTCATGAACCAACCTTATTATTATGCCTTGCTGGTCACTGGTATACTTTATAATGCAATTGAGGAAAGATCCTATACCTGTCCTGCCTATTCAATGTTTTAAAGATTTATAATTATTTATTATCCGTCACATTGCTCTTGAACTTGATTTTTGTAAATTTGTGTCCGGTGTTCCTCGTTCGTTCTGTATTTTAAATATTTTGTCCTCATTTTACGGTGTACACATTTGTTCATATTGTATTATTATCTCAGGTAAGACTCATTATGGTTGCTATCTAAGTTTATATACTATATCCACATTGGAGATTTCGTAATAAACGTGGCTCTTTAAAATACCGCCATAGCTGTACGTTTTGCTATGCCGCTGAAGTCGAAAAATGTAGTTAATGTATTTCTCGTTAGGTCATACTGCTACTGCATTTTAACTAATTAGTAATTATAATTAAAGATATTATATATTAATTGTTTATTGATATTTATTTTCTTTTAATTCTTTTATTTATTTACCTACCTTTGAAACTAGATTAAATACACAATATACCTAAAGAAGTGACCTACTCATAGATTTTCTCTCTCTTTGACAGTTTAGGTAGTAAAATATTTTTATATTTTGAATAGGTACAGCATAAATAGTAACTCCTCAATCGATAATGCCAATTTGAAAAATAAATATTGATTACTTCAATTAATTAACTACTTATTGTAATACAATAAGAAATTCTAAGGTTTCCAGCTTTTTGCACCAGTAGTGTTTAAATGTTTAGTTGTTAATTGTTGTCTTTCTATTTAGGCTTAGGCTATTTGTTTTGTGTTTTTCAGCGTCAAGCCGTTATCTATATTGTTAATTATATAGTTTCCATATAAAAGTAATAAATAATAATATAAACATAGAATAAAAATGGATACTCTTGCTAGTTTTAATGAAGAAGATGAATCAATTCAGCTCTGTGAACCTAATATTACATTTATAGTTGACGAGGCTACATTTGGAAAAGGGACTCTGTATGTTGCTGAAAGTAAACTTTACTGGAAAAATGATGCAACTAATCAAATAGTTAGTATTGATTACAAATCCATGTGTGTATTTGGTACATGTAATCATCCAGTAGTACACGAAAAACCTTGTTTGCAAATTATAGTTGATTTTGCTTATAAACCTTCTGATAGTATACAACATGAAAATGGACAAAACCTAAATGGTAACAATCATATTAATGGAGATGATGATTCTGAAGAAGATGATGGAGTTGATGAAAATGAAGATGAAGATGAAGAAGGAGAAATGAAATCTAAAATAAAACTAGTACCTGACACCCCAGAATGTCTGAATGAAATATATGGAGCATTTACACGTGTCCAGCCGTTACATAATACTAATGATCCGGATAGTGAAGAAGAAGAAGAAGCAGATGATGATTTTTATTATAACGAAAATGATGAATTTGAAGACTATGATGAAGATGATACTGAACAAATATTGAGGAATTGAAGTTTCCGAATTAAATGTTTCATGCATTTAATTTTTATTTACACATGTTATTCTCATAGGCCCATTTTATTTTATATTAATTTCCAATATTTTCCATTAATAATTAACTGATGTTTATAAACAAAATTTGTAATTTATATTTCATTCTTTATCATTTATTCTTTTCATTAAAATTAATTTTAAAAATGCCCTAATATTTTGTACAATTTAATTAATGTATTAAAGAATATACTAAATGTTTATTTGATTAGCATTCTAGAAACATCAATAGTTTTATTTTATACAAGTAATAATTTGATTGTATGATTCAGTTATATCTATACTTTAATTAACTTTATAGTTGCATGAATAATTTGATTTAAAAATCATATTTTTGTCTGTACTCTTATTTTTTTTTAAATATAAATAATTTATAGCAAAAGAAATTCTATACTTTATACTTGCATGATTAAAAGATATCCGATACTTAAACTAATGAATATTCTCTTTTGTAATTATCTTTCAATGTATTATTTTTCCAAATGTATGTAAATGTTAATTTATTATGGATATGCATTTCCATTTTAAACTATACATTTATATTTAAGTTCTGATAGTTAATTTCCTATTTAATAACAAAATATGACTAATCAGTCATTCATTTCAAATATAATTAGTGGTTGGTTGTTACCTACGAAATGTAGTAAATGATCCCAATAATGTCCTGAGCAATAATATTAAATTAGGGAAATCTTTTTTGTTTGATAGTTAATCTGTTGGCTTATAAAAACACTCATTATGAGAAACTATTATTGTTGTGAAGATTGATTTAATTTATCTGTATTTGTTATTAAGGTGTCATACTAAATGAATTCTTTTCATGAAGTATAAATATTAATTGGTTAAAAATTAAATCAACATTTTAAGATGTAGGAATAATAAAATTAAACAATATCACATAGTAATTTTGTATAATACTAATAATTGTACTAATTAAAACTTGTATCTGTTTCAAAAGAAAATCAACATTTTACAATTTAAAATAAAATATTTAAATACCTACTTATTTTTTTTTTAAATTTAAAAATGCAGGAACCTTCTTTTAATCACTTGAGCTTATTGTATACAATTTGTCTGGATTGTACAATCCAAATAAAATACTAAAAAAAAAACAATTTTAAATAAAGGGATACGTACAATCTAAATATTTTATTTTCAATACATAAGTTAATTTGATAAACTTTGTATCAACACATACATTATAAAATTACAATCTATGACTCAGTCTTAATGCAGTTGTTGATGACTCAAACATTTAATTAGTTAGGGAGTTTTATATGTATAATATACATATAAATATTCCCTTATAATTCTCATTAAGCTACTATGAATAAATTATTTCATTTGATAAAAATTGTATGAACTTGTAATGTGGGTTAAAAATTCCATAGACACATAGTATGTGGTCTAAAATTCCCATACACTTAATTGCAAATTCTAGAAGTACGCAACTCTACGAAATTGAGATACTTGATTTCAAAATTTATTGAGTCAAATTAAATTTTGAAAGATCTATTCTTTTAACTACATGCACTTAAAAACTGTATTTATGAATGTGTTGTTGTGGAGTGTAGATGTCAGTTTCTGTAAGAAATTTCTCTTCCTGTTAATTTTTTTTGAAATGGGTGAAATATTTTCAATAATCTTATTAAAATGAAAAATTATTTTTTGATTTTAGAAGAATAAAAAATGACCGAAGCTGTGGTGAGTGGAAAAGATACCCGCTGTTTATTCATTAACAATGGTGATGATTTGTTGACTTTAAAAAAAGTTGTATCCAAAAAAACAGACAAAGACGATGAAAAACTTAATAAATCTGTAGAAACCAATGGCAGTGAATTAAATGGAAACCACAATAAAACTGATAGCATAAATTTTGATGTCGATAATACATCATCATTAGAACCAAATTTAGAAATGGATAGTGATACAGATCGTAATATTACTATTGGTTCAATTTGCACCCAAGAAGATCGAGAATCAGAAACTATTGATATCTCTAATGAAAATTCAAATGAAGCCGATGTAAAAAACAGTGAAAAAGATATTCAAGTATGTTTAAATTATATAGAATATAATTTTGTTAAACTTAGAAACTAAAATAAAATTCATTACCCTTATTATTTAGGTTGGATTAATTAATGTCTTAAAAATTGGCGCACTATAAATTTAAGGGGATTCGATACCGTCATTTTCTGTTTTTGTCTAACACACGTGTGATATAATAATTTAGACGTGTTTTTTGCCAAATATACCAATTGATCTTATGAAGCGATAAGAATTCTATAAACAGATTTGAATTTGTTGTCAAGTCTACTTGAAATCGACTTTCCCACATTTATGATTTTTTGATTTTAACTTCTCCGAAAATTGAAATACAAACATTTTTAAATGCTCTTTTTTAATATGACATTTTTAGGAATTTGGGGGATAATATCAAAAATGTGGTAAAGTCGATTTTAAGTAGACTTAACGACAAATTCAAATTTGTTTTCAGATTTATTATCGCTTCATTAGATCAATTGGTATATTTGGCAAAAAACACGTCTAAATTACTATGTCATGCGTGTGTTAAGACAAAAACAGCAAATGGCGGTATCGAATCCCCTTAAGTTATTATCTCATTATATCAAGATACAGGAAAAATAAAAACAAATATATTTATATGAAATATTGTCTTAAACGAACCAATATTTAAAGAGAAATAGTTAGAGTAGATTTTTAATAAAAATATTTTCTGTGTGTTATAAATATTATATTATATATTTAAATCACAATTTTTTCTATGATGTTAAGGTTAACTAATATCATTAACGGATAGAAGATAAAAATATTTTTATATTTTATAACTTTTGTACAACAGTGATGGGAGGAAGGGGATAACATTCCTCCACTTTTTATAATTTACATTTTCTATCTCTTCTCTTATTTTGACCCACATCGAACCCTGGTCTTAAAGTAATTAAATACATACAAGTATATTTTTGAGTAAAACGTGTCAGTTTCAAATCTTTTTTGCTGACCGCAGTTTCATGATATTTTTTTTAACATCCTCTTCTTCTTATAAAGATTCATATAAGACTTTATACTGGTGTGACTCAGTTTTATTGTTAAATTAGGTGTATACGTCAAAAACAAGGCTAGAATAGCTGCATAATATTACATGGAAAAATGTTTTACTTTTATGTTGCTTATTAATTAATAAGTAATGTGAATTCCAATTCTCAGTTTAAAAATTATTTAATTTTTCAGGTTAATTCAATCAAGTGTCTGGATATTCCATATTCTCCTAGTGATTCTTTATACGATAATGATTCACACGATTTGGAATATGATGATTCAGAATTAAATAATATTGAGTCACCTGCGTCTTACTTTAATATATCAGCTAGGGCGCCATTACATTCTTATAAAGATTTAGACACTACGTTTGAGGATGATATTTTATTACTGGAAAAAGAAGTATTAAATAATGAACGAAAAAGAAAATTTGAAGATTTAGCAGAACAAGAACAGAAGTCTACTAAGATAATTAAATTGTGGAACTTGATGAAATATCCTTTTCAAAAAATAACTTATGGTACTTCGATAAGTGAAGATAAATCAAATATTTCTATAGCTGAGATCATAGTTGAAAAAGAGAATTCTGTTGAACCCGAGACGGCTGATTGTGAAAGCAACAGTGATAATGCAAAAAATGAAGAAAAAAACACTCAAAACAACGTTGAGTCAGGTGAAGATAGTGAGGATACTTCAATAAATGTGAATACACAAAAATTCTGTAACATAATGTAATATTAATTGCAAGCTGTTAAATTTAATTATTGTAATATTCTTGTCTTAAAGAAATGTATGTTCATCAAATAATACGTTGAATATTTTGGTTTTTTTGACTCAATTGGTCAATTACAACGTGTGTTTCCTCTTTTACTCAAATTTTTATTTTTGTTTTTATTACCCGTACCATTAAATTTAAATTATGAATGATCATTTACAGTGTCTTAGAATTACTGAAGAGATAGATTTTTCATTGTAATTTTTTTAATTTTTTGAACATATCAATAACAATTCTTTATGTTCTAACTAACATTTAACTCTTTTTCCTTGCATATTTAAATGCAGCATTATGTTCCAAATTGGTTGAATATCAATAACTGTTATAAATTTATGTTAAATTACAGTAAGTATTAATTATGAAAAACAACATATTTTATATGCATTGAAATATATTTTTCAATATGTTTACTTTTTAATCATGTTATTGTTTTATTTTTCAAGGCGGTTATTTTTATTGTATTTCATTATTTTTTTTGTCCAAGTAATAACCTTAGAAAAGTTGATAAGAATATTTATCTATCTTTAATTATTTACTCCTAGTGGTTGTTAAGACAGAGGTATTAGTAGTACTATATTATAAATTATAATATTTAGCAAATTTGGTTGAAATGTATTATAGTTATAGAATTAATCATGTTTTTAAAAGTTCATTTCTCTTTTTTTTATTTATTTAAAATGTGTAAAAATTGATTTTGACTTAATAGTATTAAAAATATAAATTGTGTTGTCGGTGGTTTACACTTAAAATTATTCAGTTATGATTTCATAGTTAAAAAATTAAGAAATTTAAATCGCCTCACATTTTTGTAATTAAGTTTTTTTGACGAATACTTACCAATCATTTTTCATGTGTTTATTATTAATACTTATTTGCATAAGAAATAATACTACTTAATATGTTAGTATTTTTTTTTAAGTACATCAAATATAATTTTAAAATAATTATATTTTTATTTTGTAATTAATATAACTGTGTGATACACATAAATATTTCTTAATGATGTATATCTTGTTCAAATCCACAGTATAGTATAGAAAGTAGAACTAGATATAGTACATGTTCAATAAGTTTTTCAGTAAGCTGTGTATTTTATTCATTTTTATAAGACCCTGTATACAAATAAAAGTATTAGAAATATTTTTGCTGTGTATTATTTTTAAATATTTTGTATTTAATTAAATTACAAAATTATTAATTTTGTAACTAATAAATATAGAGTACAATGTTAATAGAGTAATACATTCTTTTGAAATTTCTTTATTCAACTAAAGAGTAAACTGGTTCTCGCGTATGGGACTGATTGCTGTATGTAGCCTGATCCCTTAGTTGATTAGTCAGTGGCAATCATTACTGGTGGTATGAACCATGACATAACTAACATTGTTTATATTGTTTCTGGTGTTGATGTTTCACAGGTGGGTGAAGGCAGTGGTTTCAGTTGGTGAGGTGTGAGGTCTTGTGCAGACACAACATTGTACACTCTTAAGTTGAATAGTATTCCTAAACATTAATTTTATTTTTTCAATTTTCCAACAAAACTCTAACTGTGTTTGTACGATTGTAATCGTCTCAGTAATTATTCAAATCTTTAAACTGTTTTATTGACTTTAATTCCTTTACTCATATTTATAGTAATAAAGTATATAATATAATAATCCCTATGATCTAACACTAGTTATTTAGGTATTATATATTCATAAAATTATACTGGCCAGTCTAGGTATTAAAAATTGTATTACTGCTCTTCACCGATATTCATTAATTTTTGTCTCCTTCTATTATGTAAATTGTATGCGACTTAAGCAACGTAGGCCTTGTATATAGCTAGAGACGAGTTTGTACCTATATAGATACTTCTTAAGATTTTGATTGTAAAAAAACTAAAAAATGTTTGTTTTAAATTATTGAAGATTTTAATTTAAATTATAACATTGGTTATTAATGTACAGTATAACAATTTCAATAATAAGATTAAAATTAATTAAGTACATACAGTATAAGATAAAATTATATAAACATTTAATCTTGATTATCACAATAAAATTCTAGGTCTATTAAATAATTTTGATACAATATAAGAAAATCACACCAAACCAAACTTCCTTGTCCATAGGCCCAATATAATAAATAATTGTATTGCAAGTCATAAAGCTGTACTCTCCATCTGTAACATAGACAATTTAGGTTTACAAATCCATTTATTTACTCTAATACATTTTGGCATCAAATACTTAAATTAAAAAAATACACCATTTATTATACTGTAAAAATTAAGGTCCAATATTTTAAAGTATTTAAACGCTGACGATGATTGACAACTAGGATAAAAAATAGTCAGTATAATATTATGTAAAACCTAAATGTTTATTTTTGATCAAAACATTTCATTATTACTGAATGCAAATATTGTCTTGATTGTTATAAATTCTAATATTATTCTTAATTAAATTTTATTGCAAACAATTAATTTAAATACTTATAATTAACTTTTAAGAAATTGATTGTTTTATATATTTAAAATATGCTACAAATCAAATTTCACGATTCATGCTTTATTTCCATTATGCACCATTTGATTCTAATTGATGCTAATAGATTGGGTTTTTTCTATGTGATCATTTTTAACTATAGTTTGACTGTGAAGTTCTTTGAAACTCCAATATTCATTTAGTTATACACAATATACTGTATATTACATGTCAAAATATGTTAAATAAGTATCATGAGTATACGGTATTAAATATTAAATAATGAACTGAACCCCAGATTATTCAATATAATATAAATACATCAAGTGATCAATATACTATGTTAATGACTATTTACTTTATTTCCCCAGTTAACTAACAAGTAATGAACAAAGAGTATCATTATTCACACGTTTGTTGGAATAAATTTTAAAATAAATCAGTATTTCGTCTTGGGAATTATTGAGTATTTACTACAATCATACTATAAATTTCATTGAAAAAAGGTAATAATAAATATTGAAGTACATAATAAAAGAAAAAAAATATACAAAGTAGTAAATATGTAACTACTAAAAATATTCATGCAACTAAAGGTAAACTAGTATTCAATAATATTAAGCACTACAACAACTTATACACATGAACAATAATAGCGAATGTCATTAGAACATTAATTTGTATGCGACATTAATAGTATTACCAATATGAATAGTGAAGAATGAGGGTTTATAACTTATAAGTTAATGGAATCTTTCTTTGTAACACTTTACGTTTACACCCATCTGAAAATATGTATTAAACAATATCGTACATGTAACAATGTTTTTTAAGAAAAATTGAAATTATCATCAGGTACATTAAACAATATTTAGTAGAGTAAAATAAAAAGTTACTGTAAAATAATTACCTGAATTGATCTAGAAGATTCTAATTCAACAGACATACTGGGATTTCTTCTATTTAATAATGGTGTCATAGTAGAACGATCATCATGTCCTAAACCAGTTTTAGAATCAGATATGTCAGACCCAGCTAGATCTATACCACTTTCGTCAGTTTCATAAATGTCTGAACCATTTTGAGTGTTTAACTTTGAAGTTTTTATATTTCCTGAATTTTTTACAGCAGTAGCTATTTTTTCAGCAGTTTTTTTGCCAAAATTAGCAGCGATTTTTGGTAAACTCCTTTTAACTGGTACTGATTCAGCACTTGGATTATTTAAATCATTAGTTTCTTCTGTTATTGATGATAAATTTGCAGCAGCATCAGAACTTTCATCAAAAGTTCCTTGAATATTTTGAATTGGAATGTCATCTAAAATAATAAGTTTGAAATTTAAATGATTTTGTAACAGTATTCAGCACTAAGCATTCAACATTCTCCAAAATATATTGTATGTTATAATTTTTTTTAAATATGCAAATAAATGTTCAAAAGTACAAAGCCATTAAAAATGTATGTATAAAAATATTATTTGACTGAGAAGAAAATACAAGACTTAAATGCTTAAAACTATTAGTTTGATACCTATGCATAAACAGTGTCAGGAATGTACTTTTCTGCAAGAAACACAATTTTTAAAGTATCTAAAAAATCAGAAAAACTATTGCTTTGCACATACTCAAACATTTATCATGACTTAAATAAATGACCACCAAGTTGTTTTGTATGGTCGTGTGTTAAATATACATTTTAGAAAAATATTTGTCTATTTTATTACCGGGTAACTTTTTAGTTCTAAATGATGCGTTTGTTATCATTGATTTAGATACTGGTGTGCTACAAGTATTACTGCTTACAGGTGTACCCACTGATGATACGTTAGCTGATTGTCCACCTAAATGTTTTTTATAAAATAAATATATTTTACACATAAAAATCAAAACAATATAACTGATTACTTTAACTGACCTTCAAAAAATCCTTGACAAGAATTTTTAATTGCATTTGCTAATAATATCACTTCACAATAACAACTGTAACATGCACGGTAATAAATATCTTCTAAAGCTTGCAACGCTTCCGCTTTTCCACAGTTAAATCTTTAATAACATTTATGATAAAAATTAATAAAAAAATTATTAACGTTTAATGGTTGTAGAAGATGGAATATTTATTTGATGTTGAGTTAGGAGATTTTATAAACAGAATACAAATGAAAACAATTAAAATGTTCAAATTCTATCAATTTTAATTCTGTTTTGAATTATGCAACTATGTGTTTATTTTCCTATCTAATGACACAGTGGGTGGTCATAAGTCACTTAATATTTATAGTAGCGTTATCTAGATATTAAACAATTTTTAAGGTATTTATTAACATTTATAATGTTTAATTTTTTTTGTAAATTAGCTATTTTTCAATAAATGTTGATGAAAGTAATTTAGATTAAAACAGATTATACCAAGCAAAATGTAAATTTTATCTTCGAATTTGGTATCAATATTTTTAATAGATAAAGACTACAGTAATGTTCATATGGAGTTTACAGGGTAAACAAGAGGAAGGCATTGGCACAGTGCATACACAATTACTGTCTATAGTCAGGCGTGATTATTATTTAGTATATATAGCTATAATACTTACATTGAAATATATAAGCAGTAGAGTAGATGAATCAAGAATTTGGGAGAAAGTGGGATACGTGGTAATGTTGTTGATGTTGATATATCAGAATTACTGAATGATGTTGAACGCTTATTGAAATAACCCTGAGTAACCATTCTATAACAATAAGTAAGACGAAAATGATAAATCATGATATAATATTAAACAATAAATAAACTTACTTAGATGTAACTCTATAAAAACGATCAAATGGATCATATACTTCTGGCAGGAGGTTTAAATTTTTGTAGTAAATGAAATATAAATTACTAAGAACTTCCATTCTATTAGACGCAGATAGTCTTTCAATTTGATTAAATGGCCCTCGGCGGACTGGGTGTGTGTCTCTTTGTTCTAAGCGACGAATGGCAGTCTCTGTTAATGAAGTTGGAGCCAAACTACTAGGCTAAACATTAAATAGGTAAACTAATATTACAATAATAAATAACAATTATAAGTTAGCTAGTTATTTATTTTCCTATTCTTTAATAGGTATATTACATTTTCAGTAAATAGTTAAAATACATACTTCATGGTAAATAGATGGCTGAGCTAATGATGGCAAACGAAATGATATAAATCTAGGTGTATTATTTTCATCTACAGCTTCAAGATTGTAAATTCCAATTAGTAATGCTTCAATGCTACGACAGCTCTAATAACAAAATAATAATAAAAAAATAATGTATTGATAAATGCCAAATTCTTAAAAAAATATGAACATTTAAAAAACTATTCTCAATACATTCTTCTGAAATTTATAAAATAAATTCAATATTTCAATATACATAGTTATACTAAATAAGTATCATTGCCTATAGATTTAAAATAGTAAAAAATAAAAATACAGAATTAGAACCACAAAAAATTTGTAGGATATATAAAAATACTAATGTTACTTACTTGCTTGTCAACATGGGCAATAGAATTAAGATAACTGTATGTTAAGTGCGGTATAAATAGTAGAACAAATAAATGTAAATCTGTTTCTTCAGTTCGATAACAATTAAAAAGTGCACCACAAATACGATCAACTAACTGCAAAATGAATTGAAATTTTTGTTAAACACACAATATAAAATTGGTCAATAAATTCAACATAAAAGAAAAATTGTCTTAAAGTTTTTTATTTTTTAATCCCTATTAATTGTTTGGGTAATTTCATAATAATATAATTAATACCCAGGTATAATTGCTGTAAGTTTTTAAATATTTTTATTAATTGTACAATAAATTATAATAGTATATTCAGGATAGTGCCTACCTATCTTAACAGTACAAACTATTCAAATAAATACATATAATAAGAATATTTGAGACAGAGGAAAAGTAATGCATCTATTGCAAAATTGCTGAGGTAATATGATTAAGATTAATAAGTCACCCTGCAGGCACTTAGCTTGATAAAACTAAATTACAAATCTTTCTATTGAGTCTCTGGTGCCCAGATTTACAGGAAGTGACAAAATACTTGATAGGACAATAAATTGATAAATTAATATATAATTGATTAAGTTATTAAGGATTATGAACATACATAAAGTGTTATAAGTTTAATGATTTGCAGAATTAATTGATGCATTTTTTATCCACCATTTTATTTAATCACTCAGAAGTCTTTTATCTAGTCACTTCACAACTCTATACATAATATATAAAAGAGTAATAAACCCCCTTTTCTATTAGGCTAAGATAATAAATAATAATTAAATATATTTTTAGAAATTATGGGAATAAATATACAATGAAAATATTGTGGTTTATTATTCATTATAAATCACATTTTATTCATGACTTATATGATATAAGTTTACATTAATTTTATTTTAATATTCAATAGTAGATATATATTTTTTATTCAGACAGCAATTTAACAGCATTGAGTATATCATTGTAAATATAAAAACATACAACATAATAAACTCAATGGTAATACTACAACGTAATGTTAAGGTAATTGTATTATTTGAGTTGATAGTACTATTGTTTTATTTTAAACAAAAAAGTACCTATTCTAAACATGAAGAAATATATTATAATTTTATGATTTATAATAACTAAAAATTATAAAATATATTATTGTAGTACCTAATTACATTATTTTGTAATTATAATTAACACTATTAACTATATTATTAAAACTAGCTATAATTAAAAAACATATTGCCTCGCTATGAAATTTACCTTAGAATATTTATGAATATCATCAAGTACAGCATATATTGATTCTATAAGCGTCTTATTCTGTGATGTTGTTATAGCAAATGTTGCCCAGTCGTCTTTTTCCAATGTGGCAAACTCTGATAACCATTCTTTCACTGAGTTTTCCACCATGATTTGATCTCATTACATTCGAATAGCCAATAATACAATAACTAAACAAAAAGTAAAAATATTTCTCTTGATAAATCATGAAAATTTAATTTTATATTACATAACATTTACAAACAAATGTAAACGTATGAAGTAATAAAATGATCTCACTATTCTCCACTTACTTTAATTAAAATCACCGAATTTTAGGTTACAGATTAACCCAAATTGATATGGATCAAATATCGAATATTAAAACAGTGGCATAATATACAGGAAGTGAATAAACTTTATTCCATAATCCCATGTACAGTAATGAGCTATAACTATATTAAAAAATTGATTGAACTTTTATAATTCAGCAACATGACTTATAAAAATTAAGCTTGTAACAGCGAAAATAGATCAAATATTTTATAAAAATCAAAGTACCTACATTTTTCCTCGAAAAAATCTGAAAATGTTAATTCTTAACTTGACCGCACACCAATAACCCGTTTAGTGACAATTAAGTACCAGGTAACTAACACATTTACGATTTACTCTCACCAGGTCTGTTGCCGTCCGTAATCAGTATGACTATGAAATAATACTGTACGTCTGTACCGTACAACTGTATAATGTGTACTACTGCCAGTATTCGGTGTAGTAGTTGTAGTTCTACTCTCAAACGATTGATAAATGATATATTAAAATGATACTTGATGATTACGGCAATAGCACGAAATAACCTATCTCGTGATTACTGATTATAGTCAGTGTACCATAGACATATATAAACAATATCAATATATGTCTATGTATACCAGTATACCACAGAACAATATTTGATTAAACAGTACGTTTTCACCAAACATCGAGGTCATTAATATTGACCTCGATTATGTTGGTATCGATATTAGATTTTACGCAATGCCTAGGGGAACCAAATAAAATTTTTTTTGCCGTGTAGCCATCGATACATATTACATACTATAATACAATAATTGTCAACTATTAGTCCCAGACCCCAGTCAAATTAGATGAAAAATGGACAAAAAAGATTTGAATTTTGGTACACACTTAAAATGTGTCTTCTCAATGAACATACTAAAAATCCTGGAGCTTAACCCCTGTCCATGTGCGTATCGCTCCATCCCCCCCAAAAAAGGGGTGAAATCTACGCATCCCGACATTTTTCTCATAACTCGTTAACGTTGAACTCGATAAAAATTGTCGATAGGAATATACAATTTCAATTACTCAAATTTTTCAAGTGTTGAATTTAAGTACGATTACTTTTTTTTAGACAAAATGTATTTCTAGTTGTACACCAAAATGGTATATTAGAACAATTATTATAGGTAGGCTTACATTTGTACATAATTATATATTTATTATTTTTATATTCATTACGTACGATCAAGATACATTGATATAATCAATAAAATCCTTCCACAGAATATATGAAATATATAAATTAAATAAATACATAAAAATATTATACATTATATAAATATATATAAATTTCATATATTCTGTTTCTGTGGTCGAACGATGTTGGGTTGACACTTGATAAATGATAATACGAACACATTTTTCACATAAAATAATAAAATTGAATTTGAAAATTCACCGAAAGACAAGAGTTGAATTTCGGCAAAACGGCATACCTACACTTACTAGTTACTATATGCTTTGTCAATGAGCATACATTCATACTGTAAGTCATGACCCCTTGCATGAATGCTTTCTATATGGACTATGGTCATATCTGATATGTATGTGCCCCACTAAAACTTACATAAACGTTTAACTGTATAAAAAATATAGTGTTTTAAGTAAAGTTCATCTAAAATATTTTTCTTAGCGAAAATTAAGTTAAATAATATGCACGCCTACTGCTCTTGAGTATGCATGGCCAGTCATCATTATTTCAATCGAGTCGGCTCTATAAATTGTGCCCACTTCCTTCATAATGAAACTAAATATGCCCATAAATGGAATCACGGGAACACCAAAAAAATCCACCGAAAAATATGTAACTATATAAATATTTCATCATACAATAGTATTATTTTATTATTATGGTTTATAAAGTGAGTAAGTCTCTCTACGGTGTTGGTGATGTACGGTCTCCAAGTGCTCATTCCTGTTTTCGAACCCAGTTGTGGGTAGAACTCAATGCTCTAACTATATCAACCCGAAACGCCCTTTGATAATAATAGAATTTATAATATTAATTTGTATATTATCTATGGAGACACCAATAACTAATTTTACAGAAACCTGGTTAGGCACCTGTGTTGTTAACATTCATGAGAAAACTAGAAAATACTGAACACAGTGTGATATTATTATAATTCTTCTGCTTGAGAGCTACTGACGATTTTCATAATGATGACAGACATTATTGATAATTCATCAAATTTCACCATTTTTAAAATTCTCGTCCTTTCTATTAAACTTATTGACTTCAAACCTTCACCAAACTCAAGAGGAAGTCAATAGCTTTCTTTTGATACCGCTCTGACTTGGTTAGCTCAAATATACAGACGTTTAATATCATTTTTGTCTAAATTAACACTCGATAAGTTCTTCAAAACGTTATTCATAACATTATAACGGAAAAACAAGAAAAAATACATGAAAAAATAGAATATCACTAAACAATAAACAACAAACATAATATATCATTGATCATAATCGGGTAATGATTAAAAATAAATAATAAGCATACATCATACATGCAAAAGAAAACATAAAATATTGTTAATAACATTATTCTAAACAGCGTTTGTGCTTCTTTCTTTACGTCGAACATTACTCTTGTTTTTATGGAAAACGTCATCCATGAATAGGGAATTTTCTTCGAATTTTCACATTTCATTATTTTATATTTTGATATTATAACTAGGTATATGTTAAACTTTTATTTTAGACCAAATATTTGCATTCAAGACTCAAGTCACAGTAGTCGATTTTTAGATTAGTATATAACTTATAATTCGTATTGTAATTTAGTTGCTAAAAAAATATAACTTCCTCAACATTGCAACTATTATGATGGGCACTGTCGGGGAGTATTGGGCTCAACAGTTCCCACCCGTATCCGGTTTTTCGATTGGGAGAAAAAAGGGTACAGGCGGGAAAATGCATTTTAAAAATGTCGATAAACGCACTTGTAGAGTCGTTTCTATGGTTAAAATATTTGGGTATTTGGCATGCAACAAACGACTGAAATAGAAAACCAGATTGCATCTGATTAAAAAAATTATGTGAAAGAACATCATTAAAAAAAAAAGGAAAAAACTTATCACAATAATTAGTTCATTAAAAGATGATTCTTTAGAGGGCACCATCATCATGTTTTCGAAGTATAAAATATTATATACATAAAATATAAAAAGTGGGTAAGTGGATGTCGCTCTGCTGTACATTAGGTGTCTAAGAGGTCGCTGTAATGGATGGTATTAAATTTGAATTCAACGATATCAAATCATTGTATGCGAAAACGATTCTGTCCGGATACGGTATTTCAGTTTAGGATATTTTATATTGTTTTTACTAATTATTACTATAGCCGGTAAATTGAATTAATATAATTCTTAAATTATTAGTGATGCTGGAAAAATATTAAATATAGGTACCTATAAAAAATTGGGCTGTTTTAGTACCGAATTATATTTTCACAATGCCATTAAAAAATATTATTTTGTTTGTTTTTTAATAAAGTTTGGTGTACATATATTTGGATAGTGTTATATTTTTGTAAAAAAAATTATTTTGCATATTTATGATTTTATGATATGAATCTGTATATATTTTATAGATTTTTATAGGTCCATCAGCCTGGCACCCGGAATTCAAAATTTTAGGGTCAGACCATACTAAAAATTAGTAACAAATTGGTAATCATTTGTAAGTTGTAACCGCAAAATCAGAATTTGTAGCTATTAAGTCGTTAATCCTCAAATGATTATTTTTCCATATGGGGTGCAATGTTGGTACCCCGAATTCAAAATGTCGAAGTCAAACTATGATAAAATATTAGTAAGCAATTCGTTTATGTTTTCTTTTGCATGTATGTTTATTGGTTATTCTTATTTTTAATTAATAATTATATATCCATGATATTAAATTGTTTCATTATTTTCCATTTTAACGTAATAAATAAAGTTTTGAAGCTCTTGTCCGCCGCCATTCTGAAAATAGTTCACAAGCAGAAGATAATCATAATAATATCATACTGCATGTATTCACTATTTTCTAGTTTTCTCATGAATGTTAACAACACAGGTACCTAACCAACCTATGTGCGATGGCGCCGCGTCCTATAAAACTACGGGCGTCTGCATAGATAATAAAAGAATTAATATTATAAATTCTATTATTAATATAATCAAAGGGCGTATCAGGCTGATATGTAAGTGGGTGGGCTGACTTCACGTACGTCTATTTTCTCATGGTATTTTTATAAAAACAAGCCCTAAGTCATATTCATTATTCATCATAACTCATAAGTATATATTATCATTTTTAATCGAAAAATTTAAAGTAAAAACGTATAAATTCTATAGGCTGATGACAATTTGCCTTCGTAAACCTGCGGTCATTGGCCCAGTGTGAAAGTACCCATTCAAAAAAATATTAAAATTAATTATATTAAAAAAATTATATCGGTGTCTTGACGAATGTTCGCATACAATTGTGAACGCTTACGGAAAACTATCCCCTCGGTTTATATAGTGTGAACTGTGCATGGTATTGGTCTAATCTAAAATAGGTTGTTCAATTTTAAGCGAACGTTAACATTATAAAACCGCATCCGCCGAGATTCCTTCTTAGCTTAAATGGAGTATAGTTTCGATATCGACAAAATCATACTTTGGATAGCATATGGGTGATATCAATATGTTGTTGAGTATGGTGGATTTTGGAAATTATGTAGTGGACGGAATATTGCAGACGTTTTTCAAAAATGTATTTCAGTATTATTTATCAAATTTAGAAAAAAAACTTAAAGAATCTAAAAAATAAATTATTTCATCGAAATGCGTGTTTTGGGCATTATAATTACACGTAATTTTGAGTTGCGTAATATAATTACAATAAATTACCTACGTGCTGAACAACTCAACTTGTAATTACGAGTTGTGCAAAGGGCACATATTAGTTGATCAATGCATATTTACGAGTTATAATTCAGAATAACGACTTAAAAATTGTAATAATCCATAGTTATGATACAAAAAAAACATTTGGTTGGCCCTTCAACGCTTCCGTAGGATACACAAAAATTGAAAAATGGACGTACAATTCTTTTAAATTACTATTCATATTAGAAAAATCAGATACGAGGTCATTAGTTATTATTATTATGTACCTACTATTGGGTATTATTGAATTATGTTTTTCGAATTATAATCAACAAAATATTTAAAAAATATAAAATAGTACAATTGCATAGCACTAGCATGGACTTTTTTCCGCCTATTTACTTACATTTAACGGGTCATGAAGAGAGTGGGGAGGTGGTGGAGATAGTCCTTATTTAAAAATATTTTATACGTACCTGTCCTTCTAAATTCTAATTATATTCTAATCAATACGGTATATTGCATTTAAATATTATCCAGATACTCACATTTTTTCGTACTTATGCATCTCTTTCTTATTTTTTCCCAATCCAAGCACTGAAGTATTTATATACTCTTATTATCATTGTTTCATATTTGTACTAATTCTTGAAGGCTGTCATTATTCACTACTGATTGCGAACAAAACAACTCGCAACTCGCAAGTAATCCCTTTCGACCAGTTTTATTAGTACCTATCTAAATACAACAAAATAAGTTGACCTCGTTTTAAATTGCTTAACTGACCGTTGGTCATTGTAAAGTATCCTTTAGAAACATTTTATGGTTCAAAATACCTCATGAAAAAAAAGGTTACCCTCTTCAAAACTATAAAATTTGTCACGGTTGAGCATGTAATTTTACCCCTATTGTGATTCAATAGGTGCGTCTTTTACGGGAATAGAAAAAATCTTGTTTCTCATACATTATTCATTTGCTAACACGTTTAAGAACAAGAAACTTGTGCATTGATCAATACTTTAAAAATCATTATGAACATCAATGATGTTGATGATCGCGAGTGCATTTTAGATTATGGGTAAGTACTTTGAAAACGAATGATTTTTATTTCAAAATTTCAAAAATTATTTTTTGTTTTTATAGAGCAAAAATTGATGCAGCAATAATGAAATCATTACATAAAGATTATGGTTTAGAGCAAGGTGGATTCAATCCGAATAAACTTATAGATTTTGCGATCCAAGTAAATAATGATCGAGATAGCCCAACAAAAATACATGGACATTTTAAAATTAACAATTTGGCATCTTCTGACAACGATATCATAGGAATGATGTGGGAACCAGAACTAGACTTTGTTGATGATCCAGAATGCTACAATGAGTTTAGAAATAATGATGTTCCAATGAGATTTATGTGTGGCGTATGTTTAGGTCAATTTCGTACTAGGTAATTAAAAGTATATTATTTTTAAGAACAATATTTTATAATTAATTGTTGATTTGAATTTATAAATATTTTAGATGTGCTTTGGATATTCACTTTAGAGTTCACAGAGGGGATAAACTATTTAAATGTGTACTATGTGATAATATATTCAATGAATTAGCTACTCTAAAACAACACCGAGAATTACACAACATAAATGAATTGGTTACATGTGGAATTTGTGGATTAGTTTTTACAGAAATGTATCACATGGTATTACATAAAAAAAAGTATCATTTTAATGAATAATAAAACAATTTATTAGTCTATGCTCTATAGACCTGGAAAAGAAATACATTTATCATTGTACAATTTACATTTGTTTTTTTTATTGAAAATCATCTTATTATATTCACTATACACGAAAACCGGTATTTTATAACATTATGATACTAATAATATTAAATTACTATTTCAGTATCACCTAATTCTTCTTCGGAGGGTAGTTGTATCAAATTTGGTTGTATGTAATTAGGATCGATGAGTGGTAAGCCTTGATCTTCTCTTCTTCTCAGTTCAAGGAAAGCTTCTCTTTCTGCCCAATTCTTATAATTGTAGTCTGGCATATATGCGAACATAAATATACCACCTACTATACATAGAGTGATTGAGAAAAAACCAGTAGCGTGCATGGCATTCAAGTCATCTGTCTCATCATCTTTTTCAAAGCCATATGATTGCCAATTACGTTTTTGCTAAACAAATATATAATCAAAAATTATTAAATCATAGCATAATTATATTTAAGAATATGACTTATGTAATCAACTAGGTGTACTGTAATATCATTGGCTAACTCTCACTAACTACAAATTTGTCAACTGATTTTCAAGATTTAGAACTAATTCAGAACCCTTAATGACTATGCGCAAAACAAAATTCAATAAAGTATCTTTAGACCAAAAACTCTCTCGTTAATAGTTACCTTAAACTATTCGAATAAAATATAAATAACTAATTTAAAAAATATATTATAATTTTATTTCTGTGACCAAGACGTCCAGTATTTAGACGTTTCACTGTATTTCAGTTTTTACTTCTAGCCAAAAATATATTCCAATACATAGAGATATAAATTAATTTCAACTGGAATTAACAACTACAGTAGAAGTTTGATAGTCTAGTGAACTTGGTAGCCTGGACGGTACATTAATCCATTAAATACTTGTCCAAATTTCAAAAACACGATTAACATATGAAACAATTGTATATATATACAAGATATATTATAATGTTTAGTTTTAAATTAATATAAAAGCATTGTGCTGTTATCATAACTTAAATAAATAATAATAATATACCAATTGTGTAGAATGCCTGAAAAATAAAAACCCAGAAATTGTTTTTAACTAATCCAGGGTATCGAGTAAATTCTCAATAAAATGCTTAAAATATAAAAGAATAGTTTACTTTGATGTATCAGATACATGAAACAATTAATGTACTTGAAATGCATTACCTAGAGCAAACAAAATAAAAATGTGCTACATTGAAATCTAGGGCCAAAATGGCATAATTATAATATTAATTGCTAGCATTAGTTGAACTACAATACATATAAACTAAAAGCCTCATAGGTAATTATTTGTATTTATTAATATTATCTAAGTATTAATTTATTAAGTAGTAAGAGTAAATAATTGTTTTCATAAATTACAAAATTATAAAATTATGAACACATTTTCTTAATTTTAAAAATTAAATATTAAAGGTTATAAAGAAATGTCAAAGAAAAAAATGATCAAGGAATAACCAGTCTCTTCTAAGAATAATTGTCTATTAAACATAAATATCTTTATAAAATATTAGGAATTTGACTTAATTGCAGACTTTGTTGTATAAGCATAGATAATATTAAAATAAATTAAAATGATTTATATTTATTCAAAATATTACTGGTTCATGTTCAGTTAGTTCAGTATTGGTAACGCACACTTCTTGATTTTTTTTAGAGGTCGATATATGTCGTTGAACTAATGGCATCGGGCGAACAATTTTTTTAGTAACTTGAGCAAGTCTAACTAAAGAACTCATTATGGTCGATTACAATACTTAGAAGTTTGAAAAAATTGAGAAAATGTAAAGAGACTAAAATAAAAAATAAAGGACGTTCAAAAAATATTACATGAATAACATAATGGTATCAAAATTTTCTTAGGCATTCTTTCACAGTTGATAAGAAAAATAGCAGCTGCTAGAGTACGCATAGACTATAAAACATAAAATAATTCTCTACTGTAGTAAGTAGTTCGTTCATGGTATAATATAATCACAGAATTATTCACTGGTATAATCTATCAATTGATAAGAGATAACACATTGTAGTTACACGTCATTTGCTACGACTATAGCAAGTAACAATTTAATAAAAAACTAAATTTTCCGAATTGAAATTAATTACTGTTGTTATATTTACTGTATTATGCGAGGCGATTCTAAGTTGAATTAAAAGTTATAAGCGTTTTATGATAAATTAAAATGGGATCTGCTAATAGTACTCCTATTCCGGGCGGAGGAACAGAAGGATATCATGTTTTGAAAGTAATAAAAAGTTTTAAAAGAATTTATTTACGTGAAAAATTTCTCAAAATATATTATGTTGGAAACCAATTTAAATATTATCATCCAATTATTATTATGTAGGTACAAGATAATTCACCAGGTCAAGCAGCAGGTTTAGAAGCCTTTTTTGACTTCATATTGGCTATTAATAACACAAGACTTGTAAGTTACATTAAGTTTGTACTTACTTTTAATACTAATAAATTAATGATAATAATAATTACCATAAAATAATATAAGTCAATACAAAAATTACGACGTGGTTTAATATATTTTTTAAACATTAATTAATTAATATATTATAATGATAACTGCATAGTATTATCCTTAAATTGCTTGTTAGTAAACTATATTTTACTTTCTTAGTTTAATATAATATACAAGCTATGTTTCAAAGAGGTATTAATTTCACAAAATCTTGTAATACCTAGCTGGAAAATTTTTGTTTGGCAACTAGTATTAGGTAAGAAATGATAATTAAAAACAAGAGTTGTGTTAAGAGTTTCTTCATCAACTTTGTGATGCTGTACATCGTAAAATACAGAACTTTGGTCATCTAGAACTTGGCAGCTTCATCATGTTAACATACTAGCCCATTCCTTGTACCTTCTACAAATTGTGTTTGTACTACTTTCTTGATATGGATCCAGAATCTGTATGATTTTTGATTGTTTCTTAAACTACCAGAATTGAGTCATCATAAGATACTATTAAGAATTACAAAGGCACTGAAGCTATAATCCCAAAGAGGAAATACAAGGGTATTTTCAATTATGCTGGCATCGTTTGAAAAAATATGTCAAAGTTTGATTATATATGTGTATATATTCATCCTAACAATTATTCTCGGGCACACCATATTGTGTCTATTAAAAATATTTATTATTTAATAGGAACCCTACTTTTAATTGACCAAAAAGTAAATCTAAAATTATTTTATTATATTCTTAATTTATGAACACAGTGGATTTAATAATAATAAATAATGTAGTTATTAAATACTGAACATTTATATTTTTTGTATTCATGATTTTTTTTAGGATAAAGACAATGATACTCTTAAAGAAATGTTAAAAAATGGAGATGGTAATGAAATTACATTAGCTGTATATAGCAGCAAAACACAAATAGTAAGGGAAGTAAAAATTATACCAAATAGTAATTGGGGTGGTCAAGGATTATTGGGTGTGAGCATACGATTTTGTTCTTTTGCTGGAGCCAATGAAAACGTCTGGCATATTCTTGTTAGTAGTTAATTAATTATTTAATACTTTACTGTTCAAATTTTATATTTATATACATATTTTTAATGTACACATTTTTAGGATGTTCACCCAAATTCTCCTGCTGATAAAGCTGGTCTAAGGTCACATACAGATTATATAATTGGATCTGATTCTATAATGCATGAAAGTGAAGATTTGTTTATGTTGATTGAAGCTCATGAAGGAAGACCATTGAAATTATATGTTTATAATGTGGAATTGGATACTTGTAGAGAAGTTTCAATTACACCAGATACTGCATGGCCTGGCGAAGGAAGGTAATTTTATCTTGTATTTAGCTTATTTCAGTTTTATTAATTCTTAAGATAATGTTTAAACAAATTTTTTATTTTAAAGTTTGGGTTGTGGAATAGGGTATGGGTATCTGCATAGAATACCTGTTAGACAAGTTTATCAAAATAAGGATATTCCAGCACCACCTGTTATAAAACCAGCTGTGGTTAACAATGTGATGGTAAGTTGCCAGTTGGTTTTTATTTACTATAGAAAATCATTTTAACAGTTCATTATTTTCTGAAATGATGTATAACTTGTGCAATGGCATACACAGGATGTTTCAAAGGGGATGGAATTAAAATCAATAATTACATTTTTATTTTCTTCAGTGTCAATTTCAGATGTTTGGGTGAGGTATTTGAAAGAGTTAGCTCAACTTCAATGGAGGTTTTTGGTTGAAAAAGGGATGTAGCTAGTATTTTTGGAGATGAAAATTGAAAATTATCAGTACATTTTTACTTCTGGGGAGCATCCTCCTTTAAATACTCTTCAGGGAGCGGCATAGGAATGAAAAATTGAATAAACAATTAAAATCTAAGACATATATGCACGCCTGTATAAGGAAATGAAAATAAATTGATTGATACAAATTTAACTTCACAGATGGCACCACATATTTTATAAAAGGTATTTTACAGTAATTTAATCAGATGAAATACAAACTAAGAACCAAATCAGAAATTCCTTGTAAAATGTATGTATACATCTACGATCTAGGACAATTGAGGGTGAAATCATTTAGATGCAGCCGTTTTAGGCTCTAGGACAAAATTATAACTAGTTTATAAGCATACATTTTATTCAAATATTTGCATAAATTAAAAACATTGATACAAAATAAAATAATTAAAAATGTAATAGTTACTGTACAAAAATATTTTGGGCTATATCTCTCAAAAATGTCAAAATGCCACATCTCGATGCAACTTCATCTATGCCATAACTACTAAATATTATATCATACATTTAAAAAAATAAATTTAGAGATTGATAAGTAAATGTAACTACTGTTTTTGGTAAGGCGCAAACTAAAATTGTCGTTGCTATGGTGGTGGATTTTATCGATTTCAATAATTCAATTGCAGTAATATATTGCTGTTTTAAACGATAACGTCTGATAATCCCTAATATCGCTATAAAATTTTAATGTTTATTTATATATTATTATTGTCATAGGTATGTATAAAAGAATTGAATAACTATATTTTGTTTTAGTTAGTAAACATCTATGCTCTTTTGACAGTGATGTAAAAAACATATATATATATACCGATATGCGTCTATGCTGAACGATTAAAAAAAATAACTTTTGTTAAAATTAAAATTATACTATTACAAACATTTTTTTTTTACCTTGATTAGACTATCTTTGCTTAGTTTGTATGTGATTACTATTAGTTTTTTTTTCTAAAAACCTGAATAAAAAAATATTTATTTGGATAAAAAGCTTAAAATTTAATAAGGTTCTTCATAAGTTTTTATTTTAGCTATTTAAAAATATTAATGAATATTGAAAATAGAAATAATTATTTTTTAGAAACATTTAAAGTTTAAATTTTGACAAAAGCCCAGGCCAATCATTTTGCAGTTAAAAATTTAAAAGAATGTTAAATTTGTATAGCTAAGTCTTGAACATTGAATACTAAGTCCCTCATATATATACTTTATACTGCAACCAAAAAACCACTGATTATTATAGGAATATAGAGATTCAAATACGATGTTGTATTCAAAATTGAATCCAACCTACCTATATTTTTACTAATAAAAGGAATATTAACCTATATAATTTGTTATCTATCCATTGTATACTTTAATTTTTGTCTAACTATAACTTCATTAATTTATATACCATATGATATTGTAATTGTTGAGCCATATAGTATTTGACTGAAGGCTAAAATAAAAAAAAAAAAAAAGGAATATTAACATAAAATAAGATATCCTAGGCTGGTTTTTACTTAGATTCATTTTTCGTATACAGTGGTATACCATAAGTATTATTGAATTCAAATTTAACACATCTATTATAGTGACCTACTCGACACCTACTGTACTGCATAGCGGCTCTCACTGTTCCATTTTTTATTTATATAGGCTTAGTAAATTTGTTTGAACGTATATCAATTTACGTCCATTTTACTAGTTGACTATTCAGTTAAAACTTAATAATTATTTAAAAAATCATAATATGGCAATGGGGGGAAGGGCGCTTCAGCCTGTGTATGCCACTGACTTGTGGACTCTGTCTAATTAAGAAACATATTTGGCGCTTACTTGTTTTGAGAAGTCAGACAAAACCTGTCTGCGTCTTCGATATGTACATAAGTAACTGTACCCTGTGAATAAGTAGACTGCTGAGTATGTTTCTTAATTAAAATATGGTATTACTATACAAACTACGGAATTAATTTTTTTCATAAAATAACTTGTTTAATTTATTTCTTTTTATTATAGGCATCTGCTGCCCAAGTACCACAAGTAATTAATCCACCAGTTCTGACACCTCAACCACCTACTATTTCTGATCTTCCAGTGTCTGATAATAATTCAATTGTTGAAGCAGAAAAATCTAAGGAACAGCCACCATTGAACGAAAGTATTCAAACAACGCCAGCACCATTTTTCAACAACACAAAATCTGAATCACCTGCTTCCATTCCAACAGATCAACAAATACCATATTCAAGCAATTCAGTGCCTTTACCTTATTTTCCTCCTCAAATCACTACACTTCAAAATCCTTCTATTCCAGCATTCCAAGTTTTAAATTCTCAGTATAGCCCTCAACAACTAAATTCTACTTCTGACACAATAAAACCTTATGTATTGACGCCTCAAGTAACAAGATTACCATCATTTACATCGCAAGAATCTATCACCACGTCTACTCAAGAACCATCCATAACACCCACGAGTCTCTCCCAAACTGCTTCAACTCAAGAATTGAACAACCAGTCATCAAATGTATTTCCTCCACAGAGTAGTTATTCCCAATACCATCCTACTGATATTGGGGGTACTACAACTGTAGCTGATGTACCAAGTTCTAAAGATATAAGTAATTACTTCACACAATTTCAAACTCAAGTCAGCCAATCCAATAGTTCAAGTACTATACCAATGTTTTCTGTGAAGAATTTTCCACAGATGTCGCCTTTAGCACAACCTCTTGGTATATTTTATTTTTAGTATAATATTCAATATTATTTATTGATGTTATGAACTATTTAATTTTTGAACCAAACCAAATTGAACTTTGAGTGTTTGATTTGGAAAATAAACAGAAAATTGTAAATATATTTATCCAAACTAAATGCCTTACAGTATGGTATGAAAATGTATGTGAATTTTGATTTGTAGAATTTAACGAATGATATTATGATAAATATGGAATTGATATATAATTTCAATAATTTATTAAGTTTGGGTATCTTAAATTTAAAAATAAATGGTTTGGATTTGGTTTTGTTGACAAAAATAAAGAGTTTGTAACATCAGTAATATCATGTCGCCACAAAAAAATGTTTGGTATCATTAGATACCTACCCCACAAGTTGAACAAAAAAGTATTTATTAAACCAATAAATATATTTAATTCTTATATCAACACCAGTGATATAATATTAATACAACTGTTAGAAAAGCACTATAATAGGTCTTTTATCATTATCAGTTCTTAACAGAAAAAAAAGATCTTATAATGAGTTGATTTTTAATGAAATTATTATTTTTACAGTATGAAAAAAAAAAAACTTTATGTATAGATTTTTGTTAAGATATCTCAATATACAATGTGCATAATGGTAGACTGCTACTAACAAATTTATTGTTTATATTGTAGAGTAATATATTTATAGTTATGTACTTCAATATTTAACATAAATGATAACAATTTATAATATAGTTAATACAGTTTTTCAGAAACTTTGTCGTTTTCCAAACATCACATAAAACTTCTAATTCTTATATACAGAGACACAGTGATTTACTAAGCATGTTCACCCTCTTTTTTTCTTTAATAATGCAGTTATTCAAAGTAATTTAAATCACCTACTTAAATAGTAAAAACTATTTACAAATTGTTGACCACTTAAGGAGTGTCCTAAACTTCTGATTTTCAAATGAGCCCTCCCCCTTTGGCCTTTTAACTGTAAATTATTCAGTGGATAATTTTTCTGAAAAATATATCAGAATCAAAGTTTGTTTAAGTAGAGTTTTAGTTATTTAATAACTTTGTGGTCTAATGACAAAATATGAGTACTTTGGTCATTTGAAAATGTTAGTCATTAGTATTAATCCATCAACATTAATAATTTGTAATAATGGCCTAAGTAAAATAAATACTAGTTCCAATATTGCGTTTATTTTATATTTTTGTAAAAGCAGTTTTAAAGACAGAAGTATATTTAGTACAAACATTTTAATAACTAAGAAACTACCCATTCATCAAAATTTGAATTATTTACTATTTATTACATCAAAATGTTAAATAAAATATCCACTAAATAATTTTTAATAAAAGTGGGGGATCTCATTCGAGATGCAAAAGTTTGTATTGCTGCCACAACACTCCTCAATTAAAACCAAATAATTCAAGAATTGAAAAATTTGTCTTTATAAAGTACATTTAAACATTCCAAAAATTAGAATTTGGATGGATTCATTATTAGAAGGAAAAAATTGGGGTGAGCATTGCTTGTTAAATTACCTTGTATATTGAGAAATATTTGTGAAATTAGATTATTTATTTTTGTATTACTGAAATTAAAGTTTTTCATTTTACTTCCATATTTTTTTTTTTATTACTTTATTAATTATATACTACATAATATCTCGTAAACAAACACCAATTTTACTAGTAATTTTAGTATTTGAAACATCACAAGATTGTACTTTATTTATACTCTGTTCAAAATAAGATCATTACCCAGGAGACGAGTTGTGCGCATGGGCGTGGCTTTGTTCCTAAGCACTGTTGCGCATCTACTTGGTAGGTTAGGCTAAGGTTAGGTTGGGTTTAACCGCCGCCTGACAAAAACTGGTTTCTGACAAATAATGTTCTTGTTTTAAACTGAATATAGAGATTAATGATTTTACAGGAAACAATTATTCGAAGACGTCCGATCCTCAACCACAGATAGTACCTCCACAGCATCAACCAGGTAGTCAAAAATAACTTAACTGTACAGCATATTATATTATTTTTAATGGTTATGATTACTTGTTTATATTTGGAAATTATATTTTTTAATTTCATAATAATAATAAGGTGTTTCTAACAAAAAAAATAAAATATATAAAACTTGAATTATTAAAAATAAATATTAAATCTCTATAAGGTAGGAATATGTTAAAATCAATACAAATTATTGTAAAAATAAAATACTTCTATTTGTTGCTACCAAATTTCAAATAACTATTATTTAACTAAATTATGGTTTATTTGTTTTTCAGGAGTCAATTATTCTGATGAATCATCTCAGTTTCAATCTTTGCAATCATCGCAGTATCAACCAAGTAATTTTCAACAATAATTACTTATTTTTATAGTTTTTTATTAATATCATTTTCTATACATTTATTTTAAATGAATAACCCAAAAGTGTAATAAAATGTATACCTTTCCTTTATAATTTTATTCTTTAATTTATACTGTTATAATGTATTATTTAAATATATTACAGGTGTTTACTCAGGAATGCCACTTACAACTCCAATATCCTTACCGGGTATGCCACCAATAACTGTTAGTGCAACTCTACCCTATTCAGCTATAGAAAGCTTACAAATTGATCAGAAGAAAAATATTTTAAATAGTAATAGTTAAATACTTTTTATTTAGGTCATTTCTACTTGATTAATTAAAATTAATTATTACATAATATTCATTTTAATTACTCAAATTAAACCACAAATTCTAATATAAAAAAAATGTATTCAAATATTTATTTATTTATAGTAATATAAGGACATAAAAAAAAAATTACACAGATATTGGGCTTTTGAATGTATTCTTGAAAAATGCTGAAAATTAAAATGTACTTAAATCTAAAAGTATTGTATAAAAATATATAAGAAAAAAATTATAAATTGATAATGCTAAATTAAGCTATCTTGATAACCTTCATTAATTTTCAATGTGTTCAGTGTCAAGTTCAATGATTATTTTCTGAAAAAAATTACATAAGTCAACTATATAAATAGTTGTTAAAAAAAAAAAATACCTGTGTTTTTTAGAAGAATGACGATCACCACTATCATCATGGCGACGTTTTTCACTTCCTGTAGAACGTTTTCCGTGGCTTCCACTGCCGCTATGACGATCACTACTGCTATGATGATTGCTGCTGCTATTTGATTTATGATGAGATGATGATTTACTTTTAGATGGACTAAAATAATTAAAAACAACAATATACTATAATAATCCCAAATATTATTTATGGCAATCGGTAAATGTTTGCATTGGTTGCAAACTCGATGTCTAATTATCAAGGTTAGAAAAGTTATTAGTAGCCCAAATAAACACAATGTGATGACTTTTATTTTATTGGGCATAAACGTATAGATTGTCAAATTTTTCTATTCCATATTATTATAGTAAGACACATATTTTGTTTTTCTTATCACATTGTGTTGCTGAAGAATATAAATTATTTGAACGTAATATCTATTGTTTACTGTTTATTACACAATGAATGCCGAGATTTTGTCTAAAAACTAGAAGAAAAAAAAAGCTATAGGACACTTGGAAAGGGTTTTTAAGACAACTTTACATAATTGTGTGAAAGTAGTTAAAAATCATCTTTAACCAGAAAGGAAACCAAAGCAAAATTATTAAAAATCATTTTGGTGGCAAAAAATCCCAAAAGTATTCAATTGATATCCTAGTACATAAGAACCCCTGTTATTAAGATATAATATACTGATCAAGGAATAATAAATATTTTAATATTTTAAATCAAATTGCCATTTTCCCACAGCAAATAAAAACTTTGAAATTAAGTATCAAGAGTATAATATGTCATTTACAATATGAGATTACACCTTATTTATTAGGTAAGAGGTCCCTGTTATATCTACGTACATAGGATAAAGATCATTTTTATTTTAAACAACTACATTTAATACCAAAAGTCAAATAATAATTGCCATCTTTTCAAACAAATATATAAGCAGAAAATACTAAGTAGAAACAAAACTATTTATAATTAGAATATGCAATATATTTTGTTTCTACAGAACATTTCTTTATTCAAAATTTCAATATAATTTATAGCTAGACTATTTTCCTAAAAATTGAATCATGCAATATAGTTAAAGTATATATATAGACTATATAGGTATAATTTAACACGTTGACTGCCATGCGGCTGCCGCACCATATCATTCGTAGCCATACAGCCGCGGGCTACCGTATATTAGTTTTAATTTATATTATTAACTTTTCTCGTGGCGCTACAATAATGATCCAGAAAATGCGCTGTAGCGTAGAGGGAATAATTGCAATTTTTTGATGTATAAAACATAATTTTAACATATTTTCTTGTATTTTTAATATTTTTCAAATTCAATAGTATACATAAAAATTTATAATGACACTGAAAAATGAACTTGGCGTACAAATAATAAATATTCTTGAGGCCACCGGCAGCCGCATAGCAGTCAATGTGTTAATAACTAACTTATCTTAATCTCTAAATACTTAAATTAAATAAGTTTGTGCAGTGAAGTATTAATAGAGAGGATAAATTGACCCATAATCATGTTAATTTTTTTTATAGAATTATGAAACTAGCCCACAGGCCATAGCTTTGTGTTAGGCAAACTTTCATATAGTTTCCCTACCATGAAAAAATACACCACTATAAATATTTACAAATTTGAAATTAAACCAAGTATATGTAATAACAATTAATATTTAACCCTTATAATACCCTGATTTTTTTTTAAAATTATAGTAGACGTACATTGTTTTTCTTTTATATACAATAAATTAGGTAAACACTATATACTTTTTTACTTAAAGTGATTTTTAATTCCTATAAACATTTGAAATGACAAATGAGATTTTGCTATGGTTTAAAAAAATATAATGACTCCATAATTAAATAAAGCGAAAAAATCACATTTCAGGCACTAAACAATGATTTGCAATGATAAAAGATCAACTACATATATTTTTGAAACACAAATGTAAAGTGAAGTCGTAAAATGTTAATACTAATTTTTCAAATAAAAATTAAATGTACACACGCAGGAACTACTAACTTAGTATATCTGATTTAAAATACTTTAATCACTTAAATGCAGTCAACATAACGTAAATCATTCAATCAATCTAGATAATACTGTACCTTGATTGACTGCTAGAATAAGGTTTGCTTTTTTGAAATAAATTCTTAGGACCATTATTTGATTTTGAATTTGATACAGAATTTCTAAAAATTAGGTGGAATGCTATCACTATATAAAGAAATATCTTAGATACAATCTGGTATTTAAAACATTTTTGTTTTTTTTTAATACCAACATTTAAGGAGAAGAACAATGTAACCCATAACTGTTATAAACGTAATAAAATTTTATTTTTTTAAGTTTCAAAACCACAAAGTCTTCTGAAATATTAATGTTGATTACATTATTTAATTGTCTATACATTTTTTGTTTACAATTTTAAAAAGGAACAGTTTTTCTTAGTTTTATTTAATGTCTTAATGTTGGTTCTCTAACAATTTCTTATACATTTTTCAATTAAAGCTCCTTATAACATACATTAATTTTTATTTAATGTTCATTATGTTTATAATTATCATTATATTATTATTTTAGTATAATCTGTACCTGTGCTTATCACTGCTTGATTTTTTATGTGATGAGGAACTGTTAAAACGACTTCCACTACTACTGCCCAATTTTTTCTTTGAATATTCATCTTGAAACTCATTTCTATCACGATCTTCTTCAGCTGCTTCTCTTTCTAAATCTGACCAATCCTTTCCAGATTCATCAGAAGAACCAAGTTCTTCTTCTAAAAATTACAATTATGTTTTATTCAAATCAATAAGTTATACATTTATAAAATACAATACCATCATCATCTGAGTCCTCTGAAGCTTCTGAATATTCAGATCCATCATCATCTGACTCTTCAAATGATTCTACATCAGATGGCTACAAAATATAAATTATTTCACAAAAATGTATAAACGGGATATATTACAACCATGCGTTTTCATGTGATATTTGTTTATTTGTTTAATGAACATCTAGCTTAATAAGATGAATATAATCACCTCATAAGGCTCATCTTCTTCTTCTTCTTCATCTGCAGCTCCATCTTCTTCATCAGATTCAGGATCAAGGAAAGTCCAACCTCCATTTTCAAAAAAGCCTTCGGGATCATCAGTAATTGTTTTCATAATTTTAGTCCAATTTAATGACTGAATGCCTTCAGAATATCGAATGTCACAAGAACTAAAACAAAAAACTTAATTAAATATTTTTAGAAAACTATAATATTTAAGGTTTTTTTACTGCAGCAAGAAAATAAAACTAAAAAAAATTAGATATTTTAATTTTTTAGGTAATTTTGTTGGTTAAAATAGGCTCTTGTCATTTTTTTAATCCTTTTATCAATACTACAATATTATCTAATTTTGACAAGTTCAATAATTTCACCTAAAGTGTAAATAAAACTTTAAACTATTAAAAAATTAGAAATACATACATTCATATAAACTTTTTTTATAAATCTTTTGATGTATGTTAAATATATAAATAAATATCACTGCTTTTAAATTAAATATTGGAGACTGTAGATTACTAATATAACACACCAGCCCATACTTAGCTAAGTTTTTATATTTCATTGAATGTATCAATTTTTTAAATTACAAAACATCAATAGTTTTACAGTTAATTTTTGTATAATTGCACATGTGAACACTAGGTACACCTCTAATTTGTAAATTTAAACTCATTCCAACTTTTTGTTAGTTGGAGAAAGAATATGCTTATCCATGGGAAAATTAGGATTGATGTGAAAAAATGTGCGCCAAAGGTTAACAATTTTAAATTTCCTCAAATAGTTTATTGTTGTACTCTCATTTACCTCGAAAACAAAAATTTAAAACCAAAGCTATCAACCTGAAATAATTAGTAGAATCTCTCAGTTCGAACACATGGTATATACCTAACAAAAATTATGCAAGACATTAACAACTGTAATTGTTTGTACAATATAAACATTAAGCAAACTAGGTATTTTATTTAGTTATCAAAAAATCAGTCCTTAAAGATTTTCTTTGAATATACCTATATTATATTATGATTCTAATAACTAATTGCATTAACCATGTTCTTACTATTTACATACAGACATTATCCTCTTAGTAAATATTAATCATTAATAATTTAACTATAATACATCCCACGATCATTGAGTAACTATAAATCAACTGTATTATAAATTAGTAGTTTCATACTTAAGCCATTCTTTAACATGATCCAACATGTTCATTGGTATAGCATTGACCATGACAACTTTGTTTTGGTAATCTTTAAAAACAAAAATCATGTCAAAGTTTTTTAAATGGAATTGAACTCTTTCAAAATGAACCAATTCGACATCTTCCAATGTAATAACAAATGGAGGCCACTCAGTGAAATTAACTAGACATCCACTAGTTGGCTGCAAAAGAACTGTGCTTCTGAATGGTGCACCTGGGAAACCTAAATCTCTAAATGGAGTATCAAATTCTATTTCTTGTTTTGTTACAGTTTCTACCTAAAAACAATTTAATTGTCATGTGTAAAACAATTCAAACAATTAAATATAGGGAATATATTACTTTTTCACAGAAACTTTTGAATGCCGTTTTTAATTTAACTCGCAATTCACGTTCTGATTGTTCGGCAGCTAAATCATCTCTATCATGCATATGTTGGTGTTTACCTAGATCTGTGGTTATTTCTCCAACTTCAGTATAGAACTGTACATCTAAATGTTTTTTCTTACCAAACATAATAGCATGCTGTCAAAGGTAAATAAATATAATTAGAAACGTTTTGTTGATAAAATATCTAATGT